ATTTTAATAGGCCCAAACATGCGTTTACAGGAGTATATACTCTACACACCAAAAACATGGTGAATTCTGTTAAAAGTTATCAATGGCCCTTAAAACATAGACTGAGGCACAATTTGAAAGAAACTACATTTGATGACTAAATTAGTTCCATATTTCCTTAGGTTATCCTATTTTAGGTGGTGATACTTTGGCAATACATATAGGGAACACTAGGTAAAAACAGTAGCAACTAATTTAAGTCAGGGGTTCCCAACCGCCAGGCTGCGGACTGGTACGGGTCAGTGGCCTGTTAGGAACTGGGCCACACAGCAGGAGATGAGTGACAGGCAAGCGAGCAAAACTTCATCTGTATTTGCAGCCACTCCCCAGCGCTAGCATCACCGCCTCAGCTCCACCTCAGATCATCAGGCATTCTTATGGGAGAACTGATCCCTGGTGCCAAAAAGGTCTAGGACCGCTGATATAAGTCATCATTGAAAGAAAATCCATGGAAGGGGAGCGAAGAAGAGACAAACATACTGAGAAATTACGATTTTCTGGAATGAATGCTGTATTATTTTCAGTTTTACAAAGTAAAAGGTCTCACTGATTACTTAATGAAAATAAATATGCTGCTTTTCGGTCTTTTGTGTAAATGTATTGAAACATCTCATAATCCAACTCTATAAAAATTAAGTAATTTGATGCCCAAACTAGATCTCTTTTTTCAAATTATGTTTCACCCAGATGTTAGAATTTCCATGATGTTGGTGAGAGAGCTGTGCTTGAAAAGGGAACAGTTTTAAAGTATACTTGGGCTATAAAGTGTAAGGAAAAATAATATCACAGATTACTTAACAAAATATTTTAACCGCCATTAAAACTACAGTATAGCACAGACCACATTACATTTATTTTTTAACCCTTAATTATCTGTCATTGGGATTCATGTATGGGAAGTATTTTCATACCTTGATATACTTCTGTATTTCTAAAATATTCTTAATGAAGAATTTAATTTCACAAAATTTCACCTTAATACAAAAATGAATTGTATAAATAGTAAGAAAAAAATTTTCAAAACTCACATAATGCCTGAAATCTTTCTGGGCTCTCCAAAATGATATTTCTTCCTCCACTGAAATCTTGGTTTGTTTGTTTTTTTTTTTATTTACAGAGTTTAAGGAACTTATTCTCCTTGATATTATAGTGACTTGTGGAGTTTTCTAATTATCCATAAATAGATTGAGAATTTCTGCTTCTACAAGTGGGAGCCACAGAGTCTTACATATCTCTATATCCTCTCTACCCCATTCCAACAATTCCTTGAAAATAGTAGGCTATCGACATGTTTATCTGAATTCACCCAAAAACCTACTTTATTATACAAAAAGCCACTCACTATTCTTTAGAATAGTGAGTTCCATTTTGGCAACTAAGAGTGTTATTTTTAAGCCTTATGGAACCAATACTAATTTATCCAATATATTCTCATTATAAATAATATTTCAATATTTCTTGTATAGCCATTAAAAATTAAAATAATGAGAATCTTTCCTGCTAAATACAATAATTACAACTTCTTAATCAGATTTATATCTTTTTTAAAAGAACTAATTGAAATCATTACACTTTTCCTTGCTAATGTTGTAAGAGTGCCAACAATAATGTAAATTAACAGATTTTTTAATGGGTAATTCCTAAGAAATAGAAAACTTACAGTGGGAAAAAATAACAGTGTGTTTATAGGTGGAAAACAGAATTTAATTAAGAGATTAAGTCATAAAACTGTTTGCAGAAAACCAATTATTTATCCATCCAGAAATCATTGACAAGGCATCTCTATCACATTACATGTATGACAGTATGTTAGTGGCAGAGGCTAGAAAGCTAATTAAGGTGTATTCTCCACCTTCCAGATAACAGAAATAGTCAGAGGACTTTGAAGTTACCTCTATCTGAGGGCAAAGAGTTCACAAAGGAGCTAACATTTGAACAGGGTTTGGGGTTTAGGCTTTATTCTGCAGATTTCAAGACATTTTGGCCTGAAGTAACAAAACTAGCTCTTCTTTTTTTAGAAAGAGATTTGGAAAAGAAACTGCTTGTCTAATAATAGTCTGGTGAACAGATGAGGACCAAGTTGGGGAATAAGGAACCAGATTTGGAAGTGTTTGAGAGGTAGAATCAATAGGACTTGATAGATTTGATGAAGAGGGTGAGAAGAATTAGTCAAAATGGTAACTTTAGGCCTTTAACTTGGCAGGCTGACGATGACCTTAAATGCAATCTAGATTATCAGTTAATATGTATTTACTGAGCACCTTCTATGTACCAGACACTATTCTAGGAACATAAGGTCTGTTTTCATTCTAGTCAGGGGAGGCAGACAGTAAACAAATAAATAATCTGAGATAGTGATAACATGATGGAGAAAGTGAAACAGCGTTATGTGACAGTGACTGGGGGGTGAGGGACATTTTAGCTGAGGTAGTCATGAAAAGTGACACTTGAACTAAGACCTGAATAATAAGGAGGCAGCCACGTGAAGCTGTGGTAAAGAAAAGGAGAGCAAATGCAAAGGCTAAGACTGGAAGGAGATTAACAGGATCAAGGGGCAGAAGGGGAGCTGGGGACATGGAAGGGGTTTGAAGGGTGTGGAGAAAAACTGGAGAGCGCATGGAGCTCCTTGTAGCCCAGTGTCAGGGGCCTATCATTTATTCTGGTTACCTTGGGTAGCCAGCAGATTTTACACCAAAAAGTGATGTGATTTGATTTACATTTCTGTCTGCTGTGTGGAGAATGGATTTACAGGAGAAGAATGGAGGCAGAGGGTCCTGGTGAAAGTGGTGGCTTAGACTTGGGTTCTAACAGTGCTGATATTCTGGGCATAGAGAGAGAGGTGACAGGACTTACCGATGGACTGGATGTGGAGTGTGAGAGGAAGAGAGGAACCAGAGGCACCTCAGGGGTTTTGATTCTAAACGACTATGTGATGGTGATGTTCAACAGAGATTGTGGACGGTTAGGCAGAGAGAAGCTGCAGGGTGGTGGGGCCAGGAATCAATAGTTCTTCTTTGTTCAAGTAAAGACCAAACTGTCTAGAAACTTCTAAGTGAAACATTCTTAGGCAGTGGATATATTCTAGAGCTCAGGGGGATAGGTCTAGGTAGAAATATACTTTGGGAGTCATCAACATCTATACAGAATTTTAAACCTTGAGGCTGGATCAGACTCATCTTGACTAACTGAGGTAGATAATGGGGTCCGAGGAAGGTGAGGAATAGGCATCAATGTTTTTGTTTTGAGATCTTTAAAGGAGAAGAATAATGAATTCCATTTTAGACATTTAAAGATGAGGTAAATGATTATTTGACTTTTCTGTGGCAAATCATACATAGCCTCTAACAATATTTTATTATTATTCCCTTGTACTGTGATTTAACCCTGTCGTCTCATTTGCAGTCTTCCAATTTCTTTTTTGCTACGTAAGTATGCTCTCTAATAGCAAACACTGACCTCTGAGTGCCCGGAGCTATTCAGATAGAAGACATTTTTCAAATATCTGTTATAGCATGAGTATATTAATCCACTCTTTATGATTAAGAATTGATTGTATAATGGAGAGACTAGAAAGCAGCACGATAATGAGCTAGTCTGAAATATGGGAGGATCATAATCTCAAACACTTCTTAAGAATTAATCTTGGAATTCTATCAATGAATCAACTTTGAAAAATAATCGAGCACTGCAGACATTTTCAGTGAATCACATAACTAAGCAATTAAATTCAAATAATCGTTGATGATTTCTAAACCTTCCTGGTGGTTCTTTCCCAAGCTTCAAATACATCATCAACCTTTATTCCCTATCAAAAATGCTACTATGGTCGGCACTCACTAACTGAATACATGAAAGAGATCAAGCTGCTTCAGTATATAGACAGGACGTATTTCTTTGTCCTTGTATCTGTTTTTTTCACCACTATATACTCAGTTCCTTACACAGTACTTTGAATACAGTCAGTGCTTAATAAATATTTGTCACATGCATACGTGAAAAACGAACACACAGTTTTATGGACAAGATGACTCTTTTTTTCCTCTATATCAATTTCTTTCTGCATCACTTCTTTAAATAAGTTTTTTTCTTAATTATAAAATATTTGCTCACTGTGAAAAATATGAATATGAAAAATATGAATATAAAAAATAAAAATCTTTCTTAAAATACATATTACTTTCTACTTATAATTCGTGATTGTATTCATTCATTCACTTAACAAATGTTTTTGACTATTCGTGCTAGGCTTTGGGGACGTGCCGATGAACCAAAGTGGCAAGACCCCTGACCCCACTCCAGTTGTATACAGCAATACCCTCATGTGATACAAGTAGAATATATGTAGAGGTGTTTCACTATGTAAAAAGTTTAAAAATTCATGGATATCCCTTGTACCCTAACAATTAACATTTCCCCTAAATTCTAAAAATGATTACTTCAGTGATTAAATAACATTAGTATGTTTCCACCTAGTATTCGAAAGTATCTTAATGACATTTTCAAGTATCCTCAAAGAGCAAATAGTTTTCCCATGTGGAAAAAAACAAATATCTTAGTCTTTCTACTAAACAATGTCAAGGACAGCATTGTGATGCTGGAAGTGGTAATAGAGTTCTGAATAGATTATTTTCAAAACTTTCTCTATAGGTTCATATATTATCCATTTATTCAAATGGATTATTAAATAATCACTCAAAAAGGTTCAAATGTTTTCATTTGAGTGCTCTACTCCTCTTTTTTTCAACAGAAAGTTTCCATTTCCAGTACAAGGAAAAGCTTAGCTCTTGGAAAGTCACTCTCTGTACTGTCATCCCCTGATTTGGAGCTGGTCATCTGTTTCTTGGTATCTACATACCTGTCTGCATAGCAAGAATAAAAGTTACTAGTTATCCTCAGAGAAATATATAATCATAGAGACTTGTTCAGTTGCACCCCAAAAGGATTCATCGAGTTTCACTTACCTCCAAAGGCTGGCTGCCTTCTGCTTCTGAAGTTTTACCTCTTGCTGCCATTCTTTGTTCATTTTCTGTATCTCCTAAGAAACAGAAGAAAAAACAAAATAAAACAAAAATAAAAAACCTTTACCATACCATTGAAATCACATTGTCTTCTATTTATTTGAAATACCTTCTGTTATTATGTTTCACATTATAGAATCAACTACTTTGTTACAAAATAAATAAGTTAATATTTTTTAAAAATAAGTTAATTTTTAAGAAGAGTAATTTATAAAGATCTCATAAATCATTCAGCCATCTCATATATACAACCTAAACCAGAAATGTATCTTGCTTTATATAGATTTACTCTGGAATGTAAATCAAGCCATACATCAAATAAGCTAGAAAAACTTACAACTTAAAGGCAAATTATTTCCAAATTAAAAGTATCTATAATATATATAACTGTCCTTCAAATTAGTTTTTTAAAAAGGTTTACTCTGTATGTTTTTGTATCTCTGTGGATCTCCTTCGGAGTAGATATATATGTTTGTATGTCATAATTAACCAAATGTCGAACCATCTTTATAGCAGGAAAGAACAACAAATTAATAAATTAGCCTTCAGTCAATACTTTGATTCCTAAGGCTGATGCCTGGGTAGGTTATGTTACTAAATGAAGTTGGTGACTTAGGCTGGCTCCAGCAATATAGAACATACACAAATAAGTAAGTATAAGTATAATTTAATTTATTAATGACTTATTTTAATTTATTATCATTAATGATCTGTGATTAACACATGGTAATAAACAATTAACCTACTTCTTTAAAACATAATAAGAGGTTAACATAGTAATTTGTAAACTGCTCTTCCCATAAAATTTAAGCTAGCTCAGGAATGTCTACAATAGGTAAGATTACAAAATTCTTAGATTATGACTTGACTGACACTAAAGGTTAGGAATCTATTAATGTAAGAAAGGTCACAAGTCTTGATTAGAGATAAAGTATAAAAGTCTTGTCTGAGCTTAACTTTCCAAATGAAACACAAAAGTTTAGTTTACCAATGGCTACTATCGAGAAACAGCCTTGTGATAATTGTAAAGGAAAATTCTGTTAAATTCTAAAATCATGAAGTGAGAATTAAATTGGCAGTTTAGTAAAATAGTTATTTTAAAGTAAATCTGAAAAATGTTTATTCCCATCTATAATCTTTGTTCTCATCTATGTGTAACATAACTGCTGGGCTGGACACAGCACATAATAGGTGTTCAATAAATACTAGCTGAATAAGTTAATGAACTTCTCTTTATAGTTTCCAGTCTATAAAACTATGACAAATACTAAATGGTATGTAATAAAAACTGTATTTGAGCATACAGTAAGTCTCTTTCTTCTAAAACATATTTGTAAAACTTAAAAGGCAAATTTATTAAATATCACTATTATGTATTGTTACTAGTGATCCATAATTATGGCATTATTTATTAAATTTTAAAAACAGTTAAGGATTTTTTTAAAAAATCATACTGAAACAAAACCATTAGGAATTTTTGGGTTATATCTTTAGGATAATAAAGTTAATAACTGTTAAGTGAAAAATTAAATCAACCTACTTTTGTGACCCAGGATGTCACATAACTATTCTGATTTTTTTAAAGTGTTTATTTAAACTGACCATTTATTTGCATATCAAGAAGAGTCTTATTTTCCAAAATCCCCCTTCTCTCTGAACGTTAGGGATAAGATAATCAACTGCTGATTTACAGGAGGTGAAACCAATGTACAAAGAGTTCAGTTTGCTTGGTTATAGGCGGATACCATGGCAGCACGAACAGCCAAGGTACTACAAGTCTCTGTGCAATGAGGTCAAGGTGTGTTTAATAATTCCCATACATGATGTTTATAAGAAAATATGTATCACCTAATATAAAAGGTTTTTTACCTTTTAGATTAAAAAAAAAATCAGGAAAGATTTTTTACCTTTTAAAATGATTATTGCTCCATCTCATAGCCATACAAACACTGTAACTGGCTAAAATCATTCAGCACAAAGTCTGTGCTTCCTTTGCCATTTTCTGATTTCAAGGTGTGTATCTATACAAAACTTTCTGTTTCTCCCTACTGCTTGAATAACCAGAAAGGTTATCAGCCAGTGTTCCTGACATCACACAACACACCTGCCTAGAAGCAATTGTAGAATCACTATTTACTGAAATGCCATGTCTGGTGATAATTCAGATAGGACAGTAACTGATTATAAGGAAAGATGCCATCTGTAAGATTATTCTCTATAAACAACAGAAAAAATAAAAAGCAGGTCACAAAGAAATATAATTTTTGAAGTTTTTTCCTCCTCCTGAAGAATTATTCTGTCATGGTAAAAATTCAGTTATTTTATCCATTTTTAATAACCCACATGAAAGTGAGATACTTTAACAATAAAGATGCACATGATAACTGTGAAAGAAGGTACCTGAGTTTTCAAACATCAGTTAACTCTAATTAATATTCTAGATAGAGTCAAAAATTTAATTTGCAAGTCAGCTATTTAAAAAGAACAAAAACAACCAACATTTTCACAGTATTTAACATTTCAAAGCTTTTTTTTACACCACATTTGGTTCTTACTATGGCCCAGTAAGACATCCTTCCGATCCCCCCATCTCCCCGTTTACAGGTGAGTGAACCCTAAAGCACAGAGCATTGACATGCCCAGGGTCTCCCAGGCAGAAGGCAGTGTTAGTGAGAGCAGAACCCAGTCTCCCAACATCTCTGAGGATTCTGTGGAATGTTCTGAGATGGGGCCTGAGCTGGATGGAATCAAGTCTCTGAGTTAGGGAACAGGGTTATGAAGAACAGAGCCCAGGGCTCCTGTTCTCTGAAGACAGGATCTTTTTTGTTTGTCCCAGGCCCTGGGCGTCCAGACACTCCTCTCTATTCCTTTTTCCTTCCATAGGCCCCATTCATTATCTTTCTCTTCCCTTTTCACTAATGATACCAAATACTTCTGGCCAGGGCGAGCCTCTTGTCCTTCTTGCCCAGCCCTCAAAGCAAACATACAGTCCCCTTGATACTTTTCCGGAAGTTTGTAAGGCTAGAAATAATTTTATAAAAGGAAAAAGCTCTCTTACATTCCAACCATACAATTTTCGTGGTTTAAATGTAGTTTTTATTTAGATGAATAAATGATAAAGGTTACCTAGACATGCAAAAGAAGCTCTTTCAGAACTTAAAGGACAAGTGAAATCCAATTATATTTTAGATTAGGGGTTGGCAACTTTTTCTGTTAAAGGGCAACTTTTTCTGTTAAAGGGCTGGATAGTAAATATTTTAGGCTTTGTGGGCCATATGGTCTTGGTCACAAGTTCTTTACTATTGTAGTTGAGAGCCACCACAGACAATATATAAACCGATGAGTATGGCTGTGTTCCAATAAAAATTTATTTACAAAAAACAGGTGTCAGGCTGTAGTTTCCTCACCCCTGTTTTAGAGAATATAGTACTCCACCCCTTCTAAGTTAAAAGGTTAAATTGTGTTTGAATTATACAAGGAGATAAGAAAGGAACATCATTAGCATATCATCATGGTCCCATTCTACTGTGTGAACTGGGTTGAGGGGGAGGAGAAATGGTAGTGAAGAGTGAGCACTAGGGATAAGGGAAGATGGAAAGGAGAGAAATCCCCAGTGATGGAAGGGAAACCCAAATGCCCATCTGGGTCACCCAGAGGAGACCTGTTTTGGGGTGCTGGTGGTAGTGGGTGGGGGAGGGAGAACCCTCATTCATTCGGTCTCCTTAAATGTGGAGGACGCTCTAGTAACATCCATCCCAGGCCTCCCTCACTCCCCAGTCCCTGGGTTGGTGACTTGGAAGGACTTGCTGGCCTGGTTCCTCCTCCTCCCTTTTGTGAGAACGGGAGGACCGCAGAGAACACGTGACTGTTTGCTCTGACCCTCCACACAGACCTCCTCCCCTTGGGCAAGCCTGCCCCACCCAACCCTGCATATGCTGTAACTGGATGGGGCTCAATCTAATTCTGAGATTCAGATTCGGAACCCTAATTGCTCCTTGAGAGAAGCCACATTCTTCAACACCAACTTTATAGGCAATAAAGATGAAAATTTGGTCTCAATCTGTTTTTTTTTCCCTAAATTGACCAGATTTTATCTGAGAAAGAGAGGTGTTAATATTGGAATGCCCTAGTTGTGAATACAGAAAACTATTCTCTTTCTTTTCTTTCTCTTTTCTTTGATTATGTAGGATTATCTAGAACTCCCTACCCTGAGAATGCAGTCTACAAAACACTAGTTTCGAGGAGTTCACCGGGAAAAAATATTTCTATGGTCAAAAGTATGAGAAAAAACTGCAGAGCATGTTCCCTTTCCATTGATTTACAATGCACTATTTATTCAGGTTGTCGAATGATCTTTAATTAAAATATTTTCCTTCGTAGTTCTTAACTAGCTGGACTTTCCACTGCAGCACTATTGATGTCACCTATGATGTTATGAGGGTGGCGGCCATCAACATTGCAGCCCACAGACTGAGCAGTCCCCAGGATCTCTTTAATGGTTCCAGAGAGTTCTCTGGCTCAAGATCGGTGCCGCATCTGTTGTGCAATGTGGAAAATCTCATCAAAAGTGATATTTCCACTGTGCTCTTTTTTTTTTTTTTTTTTGCTTCTTTCTGTCTCTTGATGGTTCTTTGAGGGCTTTGATGATCAGGTCAAAGGCAGAAAGTGCTACCTCTGTCTGGGTCTCTCTGCTCTGAATGGTCAGTTTCACTATAATCCTCAGACCCTTCCAATCACCCGTTGCTTTGGTGATGTCATCACCAACCTTTTTGGAGACAGGCCCAAGGGGCCGATCTTGGGGGCCAAGGCAAAACTGGCACCGATTCCACAGATTCGGGACAACCAAAGAAAGTTGTGCCTTGGCCTCCTTTGAGCCAAAAGCCGAAAGCCCAGTGTACTCTAAAAAATTAAAAGCTCTGTGAAATTCTTTAGTAAAAAAATTTATTTTTTTTTTTACAACATATTTGACTATGGAGTCATTTTATTCACCTGATACCTACTAAACACCTTGCAGAGG